GACTGTCTGTGTTTAAACACCGCTGTCTACACAGCATTGCACGAATCTGGTGGGGTAGCCGGATGAGCAGTGCTGAGGTTAGGGGAAGGGTTTTGTGTATCCGCGGTCGCCCACTAGAGCAAGTGGTCGTCCTCCTTACATTACGTTGGTTGGGACATGTGTTACGCATGTCACCAGGTAGGTTACCACGGCGAGCGATCTTCGCCGAAGCAGACACCGAGTGGAGAAAAGCCAAAGGTGGTCAAGCTAGGACCTGGCACGAGGGTATGAAAACCCTAACCAGGAGACTGGGTCACATAGGTCGTGTTAGACTCCCTGACTGGGGACTTCGGGATGATGGTCACTGATGGTTAGCTACACTGAGTGATATGGCTGAGTGTCGTAAACAGTGGCGTTCTTGCATCTCCTCAATTTCTTTGCGAGCCCTGACCACTGAACTTCTCCATTTTCTGTTCGACTCCACTTTCAACTTTCCGTTCTTCGCCTATTCTTCATCCCAATGGGCAACCAGAAGACAGCAACCAAAACCGGCGCACGAATATGCGTGGTTAATGGTTGTGCAAACTGAACTGAACAAACCACACAGTGTTGAAATCCATTTCCTTTTCAGTCTAAAACTTTCCCTTAGGAGGCATTTCATTCAGATGGAGTTAGACACAAGTGCAATGTTGTTTCCTGATTCCGTGATATTTTAGTAAACAATCTGTTTCGTCGGAATTATGGTCAATGTTGACCAAATCAGGACTACTGGGAGCCTAATTCGGGCCCTGGAACTTAGATAATTTACCAAGTGTCACAATGTCTATCGTTGTCTAAGGAGAAGTGAATTTCAAATGTAGTGACCATATCATAAAGTAGCATTCTCCCTTGACTGCGTGTTAAATTTGTTATAAACTAGGTGCAAAACCCAAATAAACTGGATTCTTCTTGTCGCATTTGGCAGTGACTGCTCTGTGCTATTCCATTCCTTGAAAGGCCCAGACCACGAACTGAATATTGCATTCAGGTTTTTCTATTAACTGTTTGTAAACAATTAAGGAGACAGCGCTGTAATTGTGCCCTTATTATCGCATCAATGAGATACATTTTTAGCATCCCGGCTACAGACGGTTTTGATTCCCACTGAAACAAATTGATTTGCAGTAGTCATCGAATATCGACGGATCACGACAGATCATTCGAGGACAAGATCTGATCTTGAACTTCTGGTTAAAAGAAGAGAACCCGGCTTCACAAAACTTAGTTTGCGCACGGGTCTATCTGACCGTCTATTTATTATTTTGGAACTTTGTCCACAATCTCTAAAGTGCAAAAGATTCAATGAGACTGTCGGAATGCTCTGCAGTATTTAGTTGATCTTCATTCAACGTGGGCACATGTCATAGTGTCTGTGCTGGTAATGAACAACCGCCTGTGACTCGCGGAAAGCATAGCGATGAATTCTATTTTGATTTAGGCAAAAATACTCATCATGATGAGTGCTTCCCGGTTCTGAAGGTACACTAAGACACAGGGTCTTGAAAAAACGTGATATGAATGCACGACACCTGGTCGATGATCGATTGCATCGAAGACACACCTTTAGTGTGTGTGTGTGTTTGAGTGAGATATTGATATACCAGTGGTGTAAAACTATAGATATGGAAATTAATTTTCAGCTACGAATAACAAATATAAGGATAGGTGTCAATTGATTAAAGGGACAGTAACGATATAAAGGTTGCTTGAAGGATTACAAAAAAGAGAAAGCTAGGCGGTGGAGGGGTTTGAACCTAGGACCACCGGGTCGTTGTTTTGATGGCCCTAACCGCTCGACCACCACCAATCAAACATGTCTTCATCCATGTGGGTTGCTGTGTAGTCTGATTGGAAGAGTGAGTTGGGTTTCATCGATGGAACCTTGATTGATTTGAATTACCCAAACATATTGAACGAATCACTGATGCTTCTACTAGAAAAGAGATCAAATTTTATCATCCAGGACTGCAATTTCGCTTACCAGGTGAAATCCTTCCACATTCTTGGGTAGTGCTGCTGGTCATTCATTGTTCAGTAAGGTTGTGTCCACCTATTCATAATTCAACCATCTAGGTGATGCTTCCTCTATCCGCGACCCGAAAATGATTCCGACAAGATACATACCCGGCGGCCGCAGACTAGTGTCCTCCACTTCCGGTTCGTTTGAATGGAAAGTATGACCAAATGACCCACGGAAAATGTAATTTTTTATAGCAAGTATTGATTCCATTAGGTAATTCGATTTGAGGAATTCTTGACATAAGTGTTTCTTACTTAGAAAGTGTTAGAAAAAAGTGAAATACAGTACGTGAATATCCATTGGATCTGATTTACGTGACCTATTTACCTTATCTGTACAGGGCACCACGAAAAGGGATTGATATGGTGTCATTGATGGAACATCAATTTGTTGGGTACATTAGGTATATTGAACTGTACTGATAGGTTTGACTGGACAATTCAGCGGATATACTCACAGTCAACAAAACCTACCTTCCAGACTGGTTGCCATACACGTGGTTTCACAAATTGCCCTGGTTGCAAAGTTGTTGCCTGGTTGCACCGAATCATTGATATGGGATTCACATTGTGAGAACCGAACACATTGATTCAACTCCGACAAATAAGACCAGCGATAGGTTTTTTCCTGACCGGCAGAACAATTCCAAGTTGAATGTGTTTTACGTGCAAAGCACCGATCTGTTTGAATCAAAGCAAAGACAAGTACGTCGGGTAACGGGTGGGAAAATACATATGGTGGAAAATGCATGGTTAAAATAAGTAAAGTGGCGATTTTGGGAATGTGAGTGCAGAAATTGTCTGACAAATTCGAATTTCTAAGTATAAGCAGCTTGATGCATCAATTCGGTTTAGATGTAAGTAATTAACAATGATATATATATATATATATATCATTCTTCTGCGTTTAAACCTCTAGCCAAACAAGTAATTAATGGATTCTTTGTCAGTGGAATATCACCAGGTTGTACATATCAAACAACGTGAATTTCCGGAGGATTCCCTACCGAAAACGTGCGCTAGTCTCAGCCTGACTCGCAACAGAGTATAAGCTGATCATCAACGGTAATTGAAGAACCAGCAATATTATTAAACATGACAGGTATTTGCTTTGAATATGCAATTGAAAGCGTATTGTCTTCTAATTTGAAAATTTACATCCTAGCGTGAAATAACATTTGCTTTAGACCATCTGACGTGATTATAATAATAATGATAATAACAATAAACTACATAAAACACACTAAACTTGAAGATTTTTGGCAAAAGCCATCTACATTTTTATAAACCCTCATATCCATCCGAATTAAACTAAAACATTTGAGAACAAAACACGAAATAGCGAGCAAGCTCGTTTTCGTTTGGCTAATACAGTTATACAGTTATATAAATAGGTAAAAGACATATCACATTTGCATAAAGTTTGAAAACGAGGTTGTTCGCTATTTCATGTTTTGTTCTCAAATGTTACAATGGGAATCTTCAATAAACTGAAGCAGTCAGCCAGGATCCTAGGAAATATCAGTCCCCAAATCATTTAAACGGATATACAAGGTTGGATCGTATGTCGGGTTAAGTCAATGATCGTCGTTCAGACAAAATGTATAACTGTTCGGGAATACCATAAACTAACAGTACAGAACAACAAGCAACAGGTGCGGAAATTCAGCGTACACATGTTTTGACACAGAAACGTCACATCCAGAAGATATTCGGGGACTTGGAACACTCACGTGGTCATATGAATTTATTGATTTTGAGGACTTTTTGAATGTCTGATTGAGTGCAGACAACATCCAGGTTCTCATACGTATACCACATGGTAATTGTTTACATGCACTAGTATTGAAATCTTTTTTTAACTGATGCTAAAGCATCTTATTTTCCTCCCGGTTGAGCATAAAACTTACTTTGTCTACTACTTGTAGCAAAGTAGATTTTCAGGGCTGATCTCGTTCGCTAATGCTGATAGTCGGGACAAATTTTCGATCTAGCAATAAAACCGTCATCACAAATAATAAACGTCAAATCCCTTTTTTGAGAATGTCATCTGGACAAATAAACTGGGGGTTAACGTTTTAAAAGCAATTAGGATAAAAGATGAACTATTATACAGGGTAATCTGCAGCTGAACAGAGTATTTCCCCGCCGAACTGCAGCTTGAGCTTATTCCGTGTGACAGTAGTCAACCGCAGTGAGGCCTACTAGTTGCCTGGTAGGGTTACGATTTGCCACAAAACGTGCAAAGCAAAAAATAGCGAGTTTCTATGTGTAGTTTATTATCAATAGATCCAGAGGAAGTCTGCTATCAGTTTTTACTTAACAAAGTCAAATAATTTCAAATTTGTGTGCGTGTGTGTGCAAGGTCCAAAGGGTTGGTAAATTTAAATATAATATGTGATTTTAAATGGTCTGTATGGTAACCGAGTCCTGAGAATCAGGCAACACGTTATCAAGAATGTGTATGGGACGAGAAAAAGGTATTTATGATAAGGGTATGGTGGCTGTGTCATGTAAGTGACAGAGAAAACAGGAGGTTTACCACAAAACTAAAAGAGAGATGTTCACACTTCATCGTCCTCCTCAAGTTGACCCTTCTCTGGTTGCAAACACGTGTTTGGTTACCATTGTTTTGAATTCAAAGTAACTCATATATTTTGAATTTAATATTCTCAACGTTACTACAGAAAATAACTTGCAATCAAATAGCCAGGTGGTGTCTACAAACCATGCGAAGCATTGAAAGCAATTTCACAGCATCAAACAGACCCGGTCATGAATTTCACGGACGACGAAACTCACTCTGCAGATGTCTTTCCGTCGGGGTGGATTTCACACACGCCCTGATACATTCCTGTCCGTTTGAGAAGTACGGCTTCATGCTACACCCCGGTCGACTGGTGTCCAGTTGAAACGCTTTGCATGTAGCACTGGCCACACTGAAATGAAACGCGATCACATTATCTTTCTGTTCTGCCCCCGGGGTTCCACTGAGCGACAGAGTATAGCATTTTGTCTGATGGGGGAGTGAATCACATCGCTGATCTCCTAATAAAGCATACGAGAAGTGAAAAACTCGGAGTAGAGTTTTGATTGTGATAAGTGGACAAGCATATATAGATATAATGTTCCAAATTCCTGTTATTTTTCAAACAGTTCAAATTGGTACTTTTATACAAAAGCTCAATGGGGAAATCTAATTCATACTGGTGATGATAGAGCACAAAAAGGAACTCGTGAAATAGTTTTAGGGAATAAAATCATAATCTGAATTTTTATGATTATGTTTTCCTTAAAAATCGAATGATTTCAGAGCCAATGGTTCATCCGATCGTCTGAAATGCTGAGTGAATCTGTGCTTGCCAGACTGACGGGGATTAAACGCAAACACCGATAGGAGGCATCGAGGATTCCGTACACTCAGTTGGTTCAGTTACATTACATGGACATATACAGACATTGCTTGAACTCGTGCGATACCATGACTTTCATCAGACCTTTTCCCTTTTAACGCCTAGCGATTTCGGTCTCAGCCACATGAATGAATATACAGGTGTTGATCAAACTCGTGCTACATCACTGTCATTTTGGAAACACCTTTCCGTTTCCAATATCCTACATGTTTATCGATAGCTATGGGTGTAATGTATTTATTCCTGACTTTATCTCCCACTTCTATATTCTTAGCTTCTATCGCTATTTGAGCTTGCATGACCTTGCTTGTCGTGATACGACTTGTAGTGGTATAGTGCAGACACGGGTGCAGTCATTTTAATTTGATTGTGAATCGTGCTCATGTCTCACTGGACTTTTTGGTTCATGGTTTCTTTTTTGTATTTTTCCTGTCTTGCAGGTCGTTTGGAAACCCCCTCCATGGAGCAGCTCATGGGAGAAGTGTGTCCTACCTGTGTATTGAGTAGCCAGGGATTATACGTTTTTTTTTGTGAAAACGCTAATTGTATAAGAACTCGGACTGCATTGCCAGGGCTCGATCAACCAGTGTATTTCGAGTGAATTCAGAACTGGGGTCGGTCATGCATACCACAGTAGTTCGAAAGTTACAGCTCAGATTAAGAAGATATTCTATGAAAAGCAGGATGGAAATTCATTCTTTCTAATAAATGATTCCTGTTCCACTGGAGTGTTCTTTAGGTTGAAGATACACATTCCAAACAGCTTATCTATTTTCATTCAGTGCACAGTAAATAAGCCAATTAGTGAAAATTCAGTAGCCTAAATAAGTTGATAAATTATTTCTCCACAAACTACCCACGCATTTTTTCTAATAGTGAAAGAACCAAAAATATATTTAAAGAAACATGCAAATTACCCTTCGAAATTTGACCGTGATGTGTGCGGCTTGCTGAATAAGCGTCTTGAAGTGTCGTCATACACAAACCGGATCAAACCTTCAAAAGTTCATGGCATATTATTGAAGCCAAGAGGCNCAAGAGGCAGGTTTTTGTTAACTGTCACTAGCAAAATGCATTTGGGGAAGTAGTATTTTTCACAGATGGAGGTTAGTTTATTTTCTCGTTCAAGGTTTGTAGTAGAAAATGGTTAGATCTCATGGAATGTTATTTTTTTCACATTTATGAACTTTCTCAGGGGTGGAAGTACCAAACGCAAGGTCCAATTCATTCCATTTCCCTGCCCCCCCGGCCAGCAGTTGGGAATGTAATGGAAAACGTTTACCTGTGTGAAAAACAAGAATAAGTTAGTTGCCTCGACAATGATCCTAAGTGGTTAGGGTGTGGAATGCTTTAGAAGAAACTGTCAAATTGTGTTGTACCGTCAATCTGGTGGACTCCATGCAGAAATGACTGCCTCCAGTGCTCAAAAATGAAGAAGAGCAAATGGAACATGGACGAGATGGAAGTACAATACCTGTATAAAGTCTATGAGCCATTTCGATAAATAAGTTCCACTTTTGTTTTTTTACTATGGCTTTGTTATTTTACAACTGATGCACCAGCAATTGTCGTCAAAATCGAGAAATCGTACATTTTGATAGCGTTCCAATAATAATAAGTGGATATTATATCCAACATTATGCTGATGTGAGGTAATAACATATTCAAACCCCTGAATTAGGCTTGAAACAGTAAGCGTCGTACGATTTTGGTTAATACCGTATTGGTACCCCACATCTCGGACATAACATATCGTTGACAATACCCAATTTTATTTTGGCTTGTAATCATCGAATTTCCTTTAAAGTATGTGTGCGTATTTTGCTGGATTTATGAAAAATAACGTGTATACGATGTTTAAAAGGATGTGATTGTTCACAGGACCACCATCCTTCAAAGTTTTAAAACCTTGGAAGCCGTGTGCAGCGGTTTCATGCATGTTAGTGATCGACGAGGGTGCGAAATAAATTTTCGGAATTGGCCAATTTAAACACTGAACAGAGGTGAAAAACAATATGTATTAGGCTGTATATGATTTTCATGACAAATCTCACCTGAAACATTGAGAAGAAGCAAGTTAGGTTGAAAAATTGTAACTTTTTCAAATACGTTACGGGAATGATAATGAAAAAATCTGTCAGATAGAAACAACTAATTGAGCACATTATGTAAGGTGCCAGGTGCGGGATCCCATCCACATGTCTCAAGACTTCGATCACCATACATACATAAAAACAAAATAAAACTTGATAGTGACAAGTGTGTCCTGACAAACGGCATATTCAGCCTTGTAACGTAAAAGGAGTGGGAGATACGACAATACGAACAACTCCAGTGTGACTTACTGTCCGGTCTGACAATTCGTGCTTTGCATGCCGAATGACAGGACTCGGCATCATCGAATGTGTTCTCCGAGCCTCCACAACCGGTATAGTTGAACGGTTCACAGTTGCTTGTGTGCGCATTGAAAAACCAACGCTGAAAGTGGAAACCGGCACACTGACCTTGTTCCCATTGAGCAATACTACAATTCAGAGGACGACATCGTCCCGTTTCCGGCGGACGTCGGCAAGGTTCTAAATCTACCCCCAAACGGGGGTGATCACATATTTAAGAAAAGATCAGAATGCGGTAATCAATGGAAAGTATTCACGGCAACTAACTCGTGCTATCATTAGACAAATTATCAGTAGTTGAGAATATAATGCAACCACCATAACGGATATACTCACCAATGTTTAGGGGATCGATAAATTGATTCTTATTTTTCGTTGGACGTCCATTTGCCTCTCGATTTGAGACAATCTCAGTGCTGCTTGGCTTTTCCACAGGTTTATTATCATTTTCCGGTACGATGGTTGAACTACGGTTGGAACTGTCAAACTCCTCCTCCTCGTCCTCTTCGGGATCTTCTTCCGTGGTATCTTGTTGGTAGGTGCCTTTGAACGCCCCACACATGGACTCACACAATGCATGAGTGGCAAAACGATTGCTATTGCCAGCACAACCGGTATAAGTGAATGTACGACAAATTCCTTTCCCGTTTTCGGTGGTCGTATCTCTCGCATTCGGGTCAAAATACCACATAGTTTGGTTTGAGGAACACTGACCGGGATCCGGTGATTGAAGACAAACCTCTACAGGTGTGAAGATAAACAGGAAGAGACTAAGATACGATTGTGCAAATCTGGAAGAAAGTAGGTCTGAAGTGGAATGAAAGCTGCGATGAACAAACCAAGCGTAGACAGAGTTTAAGGTTTTGAATCTCTTCATCAGAGAGTTACTGCTGCATTTGTTCGTATGACAAAACTAGCATTATTGGCGGCATACATATCATCTTTATCGGGATGGTGTGAGGGGTGGGAGAGAATGTGTGATATAAACCTGAAGATTGATTCACTTTCGATAAAAGATGCCAACTAATCAGTGTGGATGAGAGACATCCGACGGCCGAAAAACCAAGATCTGTACAACTGATTCAATGATTCTTTCCTATCCAGCTGCTCGGCGGGGAGTGATTGTCGAATTTGAGATTTTTTTCGTTGAATGCAGCTGGAAAGCTTCTGTAACGCATTGAAACCAAAATGGTCGGAGATGTCTACAATAATAATAACTGTCCCTACCTTTCCTATCACTTTCAGGCACACAATGGTTGAACGCGGTGAACACTAAGAACGAACAAGCAGAAGAGTGTCAGCGGACACATGAGAACACATAATCCTTACAAACCTTGTGTGCCCCCTTCCCATATACAGTTTGTACCTTGCTTTTTGCCATTTCGCGCTAAAATGTACGTTTCGTGCGCGATAGTCGTGAGCGTGTCTGACAACGAGAGGAGTGATCGAGTGTCGGTGATAGCGAGCGTCCATTACCATCATTTCAGAGCGTTCCCGCGGAGCTCCATACACGTAGCAAACTTTCTGTATCCACTTTACACCTACGATCTCTTTGATTGATCACTGAAGCTAAGCTGAGCAAAGATCCTGAACGGTTTGGAAGCTGAGGTCTGGGGGAAATTTTTCGGTGATCAGTTAACAAAAAATCACTGGATATTCTTCGATTTGTGGATGACACATTTTTAGAAGTCCGCTGTCAGTGTGTACAGATGGAGTCCAGATACCACTGTGGTTTTTATTCTGATTTTTCACATCAATCCAATCAATCAATCAATCGCAAGGAACCCTTTCCAAGGGTAGTAGTATTCTGTCAATTGTCCCAGTTAAGCGCTGGTTAATACAGTGTAGACTGTACTAACTGTTATTTCATCCCTTTCATCAGTTATTGCACAATAAATGATTTCGAATTGACACGTATCTCGGTTAGTATAGCATTTGAATGCCATAAGCAGAACTCAAACTCGAATCACACTGGTCCGCTTTCATTGATTGGTATTTTCTAGGTGTATTTGGAGTAGACATTTCTGACCGCAAGCTAATTCGTGTACGGAAGCGCTTCTGTGGTTGTTCAATCGGGTTGAGGCAGCGGAGTTCGCAGAAGCAAGATNCTTTCCAAACGAGAAATATTGCCGATTGATCAGTTTCAGCTTGTACCTCCAGATTGACCCACCAATACCCCTTTATCCCATTATACATAATTACAAAGATTTTGCATACTTTTGTTGTGATCTCCCACTTCCCTTTCGATTGTATGAATATGCAATGATACAGTTGGTTTGAAGAAGACGAGCTGCGACCAGAAAACTGATGCCTAGGAATAGACAAACATAAGTGAGGATAGATGGGCAACAACCATTTGTACATTGATGGCATTGATCGCCTCACCAACGGGCCGTTCACAATTGAATTAGAGGAAATCGGGTGCTTAGCCTTTAAACCAAAGGATTATTGGTACTGAGGTATCGTTGTATCATAGTGTATTGTAAGTAACTATCTACAGTTCAGTCGCATCAACAAAAACGCCCATTCGTTGTAGAGAAAAACATGAAAAGTGCGGGAAAAGTGAATAACTATTATTGTATATAAAATCTGCTACAATCAGTGCCCACAACTAAAATAATCAAAAGAAAAACGGAAAACTTAGAACATTCTACTTTCATCCTATTCCAGTACGTTTCAATCTCGGGATATTTACTGAATGTGGTCTACGTTTATACCGCAGAGATTATGATATACCCCTTCTGAATGTGTGTTTTGTGAAGGCCAATTCAACCTATTTGGTGAGCCAAACATCCATCATTGAGTCAGTAAATTGAATAATCTTTTTTCAATATATTGTGATAGTTTAGGAAACGGTTAAAATCTCATTTTTCTTTCTTACAAGAAAAGCTGACGTCACTGTAACCAAGCTACAGAAACAGGAATGTAAATCAGTTAAGCATATTCAAAGTATGTGTGCGTATTTTGCTGGATTTATGAAAAATAACGTGTATACGATGTTTAAAAGGATGTGATTGTTCACAGGACCACCATCCTTCAAAGTTTTAAAACCTTGGAAGCCGTGTGCAGCGGTTTCATGCATGTTAGTGATCGACGACGGTGCGTATCCACTTGGAATAAAACCCGGCCAAAAGGGACTGTTGTTTAAACGCGCTAACCACTTGGGGTAACTCGGTTGATTCTCAATAGTTTGGTGCACATCAAGACCAACTGGTGGTGGTGGTGATGATCGAATCATTGATGAAATCATTTAGATTGGTAGCTTGTTTGTTTAATCAGAACCATTATTACCTTGAAAAGGGTCAATAGTTTCATCTGGTCATTAGTATCGGATGAACTATTCACAGCTATTTTCTTATTTTTTGTGGTTAAAACGGCAATATTATGCGAATCTTCCTATTCGATTAAACCGACAATTGTGATTCTGTAGCTCTGTCTTGTAACTCGATCATATGAAACGTTTTATCACGGTTTTGAAGGACAAATACATTATAAATAATAATAAATACAATCATCATTCTATCTGTTAGTTTCAATTATGGATGGCATCAAACGTGCAAATTCATGTCAAGTAGTCAAAGAGGTTATTCTACATTACCCACGATTTCCAGTTCCCACGGTGAATAATTTATGCACCAGGGATCTAAATCATTTGGAAAGCAAACCATTTGTAAAAATGATTGGGACACTACTCATTAGTAGGTGGATATTACTCTCTCGTTAAACGCTGCATGGTCATTTCAAGCGCACAGTCCACTGCACATACACGAACATAGAAAAAAAGGAGGAGGTAATGAACAAAAATTGGATACTTTTTCTGTGGTTATAAGAATCATATAAAGGATGACTGAGTATTGGTATTTCGTGTTATTTGACAGTAGTTTATGATCGTATAGCATCCCGAATGGCATGCTTTTTTGCATCTATTGAAATTTAGTGGAAATTTTACTGCAAACAATATCAGGACCAACGTGAAAGAAGACGGAAATAACTTGCGCTGTTCAAACAGTGTACAATTTGACCCAGTTTTCAATCTGCCTTTTTCCAACAGGGATTTTGACAGCTGTTTTTTAATTAATCCTAATTTGGCACCATAAACGACCGCGGTGCTGTGCGGTACCATATGCTCAAACACATGTCGCATGTGTGGGTTTTTGCCTACTAATTGATTTGGTGTGCCACATAATTGGGCAAAAAGCTGCGTAGTCATTTTTATCCAAGATGTGAAGCCTACATGATGCACTACTTGGGTTAGATAGTGGCACGGGAGGGGGGTGTTGGTGGTGGTGTTGGTGATGGTGGTCTTGGAATCAAGAGGATGGTATATGCGTGCGGCAAATCAAAATTGTCCCAGAAAAAATATTCCACGTGGTTGTAAGTTACATTAAAATGTGATCTATTTGATTGGGTAGGGAGATCCTCGAACGAACACATCCACTGTTTTTCATAAAAAATGAAACTTATCTTCTAGTTGTGTAGGCATCATAATCTCTTTAAAGAGACAAATAGTCCCTAAGAATGACAGTCTAAAATTCGCTTAAAAGCGTTACCACAGTGTTTGTGAAAATGGTAAGCTTTGGGACGTAAGTCGAAAAGCATTTATTAGTTCTGCAGTTTTCAAGATTTCTCGCCCCTCAAAAGGCATCAGTCAGCACATTTATAAAAGAGTAATACGAAGGTAATAATCAAGGGTAAAGATGACAATTCAAAGGCAAGAATCACACTTTATTGTATTCTGACGGGACGCTGTAAATTACCATATCAACCTATCTTCTAAAAAAGGAGGATCTGATGTCAAATTGAAAGCTGTACAGTGCGTAACTGGAAGGTTTGGCACTTGTCGCTGAATGTAATATATGGCGGTCTGTTTTTTCTTAAAAATTCTCGGAGAAAAATTGGTGCTCACACGGCGAAACAAAATACTAGATTCATTACCCGATAAACAAAAAAGACGTGCTATTAAGAATATTGAAAATCAGGGAGATTATCTAATAGTTTAGCTTTTATCCACGAGAATCTCTCATCCTTGACTCCGAATGTGCACTGTTAGATTATTGTGTGGACAGTTCAATGATGTACCAAGGTGTCGGATGGCCATTTTGATTGCTTTCAAAAAATGTCAAAGCTCACTGTGTATTCTGTGGAAGAATTTCAATTTGGATTTAACATATATTTGAAGGGTTTTGTAGAAGGAGATGTTAGAAAAGTAAGTTGGAGATTGAATCTGTTTTCTTATCTGTACGATGAATAGCTTAATGGTAAATCACTAACTGCGGAACACACTTAATTCCGGTGATTCGAAACTGGAGAGTACGTATGACGGAACGGAAGAGTGTGCAATCCATAGTTAGGTCGATCGAGGCAAATGATAATGGAATACAAAAGGGGCTAACTTCAGTTTGTATTAACCGACCGCTAGAACTGTTTGGTTTGGAGTCACAGCACGATACTTTGGTTGTTTTTTTGTTGTTGAAAGAAGTCACGGAAGAACCGTTTGCAAAAATATATTGCTCGACGATCATTTACAACCTCAATGATTCTGCTGACTGCTTCAGGCAGGAATAAGACGCATAGGCGGATCCTTTCTCACATCAGAATAGTCAATTCCGTTCTACAAGTGCTGCCAACACCATGGCATGGTTACAATAATTGTAGAGACTGACAAGGCGGTACCTATCGTCCGTGCTTGTGAGTATAAAGTTGCGATCTGCTATACCCGAAAGTGCGTTTCGCCACAGGCT